GTGGCTAAAATAATGAGTCAGTATAACTGGAAAATATTTATTTGAACTTGTGACTCAGCTCTTCCTGAGCTCAAGGAAGCGCAGCCCATAAATCAAGATGATGCCGCCTAAGTGCCTCCTCCGAAGTGTTCCCACATGGGCGGGCAGTGCTGGAGAAGCCATTAGCAGAAGCGACTGGACCGGCTGCCCGTGAAAGATTTAAAAGAGCCTTGTGTACTCCAGGAGCTGCGCCTTCTCGGAGCTTTCATTTCTGAGGCTTTCATGATGGGTGGCCTCAGCCCTTGACCCCTTCATCTTTACGGTCCAACCTGCCGAGTGCTACTTCCTGGCACAGCTTGTAAATTCTATTTTTTCATATTCAGTGGAGGCTTGAGGCTTCTGCCACGGAGAAGCGAGGTGGCTAGATACATTGTAAGCGTAAAATAGACACCAGATTTGGAAGACTTGAGTTTGCAAGGGTGTTTTAAGTGTATTTACCTGTCCTTTTATTGCTCCCACCAACTCTTGCTCGGGTCACAGAGAAGCTGCTGCAGGTGGGCCATGCTGGGAGCCCCAGAGGCTTCATCACCCCCTTTCTGCCCATCCCTCCCCTCTCAGACTTTCAATCCCCCCAGACCTGGTCCACTCTTTCTGAAATAAAGATGAGAAAACAGAGCATCTGAGAAAAGGGACTTGCCAGCGTTCCAAGAACCCTAGACCAGAAGCCAGGGGTGCTCATCCCCCACTCCTCAGGTGACACCCTGGACCAGGCACAGGGCAAGGCACAGGGACATGAAGACATATGGAACATAGGTCCTCTCCTGAGGTACCTTAGAGTCTGATGACAGTGTGCAGTGTGGTTGGGGGAAAGGAAGTAGAGACTCCAGCAGTGACAGCCTCATCGTAATGGCTAAGACCTGTGAAGCCCGTTGACCGCCCCAGCCCCAGGCTATAGCCTCCTCTGCTTGCTGCCCAGTGATCCTCACGACACCCTACGGGGGCGAGCACAGTCAGCCTCTCACCATGCAGACCACGAAACCCAGTCCGGGGATATTCCATTTTTTATTTGAGCCACAGAATCCTTCCTTCAAGTAAAATTTTATATGGAACCTCAAATAAATACACGAGGTAAAATCAGGAGTGAGTCCCCTCACTTGTCCCTAACCCTCTGCAGGGCCCTGGAGGCAGGTTCTCAGAGGCTGACATCTCCTGTTGGCATAGTTTAAAAACCAGCTGGGTCAGTCAGTGCTTTCATTTTCCGGAGGAGCAAACAGAGGCCCAGAGGAGGGAAGGCACTTAGCAAGGGCCACCCAGGGAGTCACTGTCACAATTAGCACTCCAAGCACAAGTCCTGTGAAGCCCAAGCCTGTGCTCCATCCCTGACACCTCTTCTCTTAGGAAACGGAGGCCTTTTCTTAGCAGCTATAAAATACAATCTCTTCCAAGCCGTGTTTTAAGAGTGAGCTTGCAGCGGGCTCTCTAAATACGCTGCTTTCGCCTCCCTCCCGCCCTGTCTCTTCCCTACCTCCAGCTCTCCCACTTCCTCGACCACAGGAGGAGAATCCTGCTTCCTGGCAACCGTCCTTGTGAGCCAAGTGGATGAGTGTGGCTTGAAACTGACACCTTCACAGTTTACCTTAGAGTTTTTGGTTCTTCTCAGTTTATTGAATGTCGTGCCTCATCACTCCATAATATTCACAGGACTCTTGACATTAGAAAGGACTTTTTAAATCCTGTGAAGTAGGATTTTAGAAATCAACAGCACCTTGAGGTGTGTAAGTGGTGCATTAACTTTCCTGGGTCCAGTAGGAGGAGACTTCTTTAGGAAATGTCATGATTTGTACCCCTCGGGTGGCATCTCTAGGGGAGGCCTAATGCCACACCCCATATCCTTCCTTCAGCAGGCCTCACAGTTGTCACCTCCTTTCTTTTCTGGCTCTTGTCCCAGCCCCCTTTCCCCAAGCTGGCTTTGATAAAGGATTTCTTTCTCCCCTGCTCCCTCAGCCTGGCTTGTCCATTCTGCAGAATCTGTCCATGGCTCTTTTTCTAAGGCTTTTACCATAAAGCACCTAGAAAATGAGGCAGCTGGAAGAGGTGACAAGCATGAGAAGCTCCCAGGGTTCCCAACCTGTCTGACAGTCCCCAGAAGCATGTCTCAGCTGGTCCTGTCCCTGTGTCCCTTCTTGTGTGGTTCTGACGTGACCAGAGGTAAGGCAAAGAGTATGTTTTCCAAACTTGGTTTTGTGAGATTCCAATTCTGGGTGCAGCCTCTCAGAGATGTGCTTTTATGACCAAAAAGACTGGGGAACTCTGCTTGCAACCTGTTCCTCTTGGAGACTCCACTGCATAGCCACATACTGACGTTTTTGAGAAGTCCTGCAGGCCAGAGTCCTAGGGAACTTCGTATAACCTCAAACCCGTTTGAACACCAAAAGCTGTGTTTGCAGCCCCTCTAAGAGATGCTAGTTTGCAGGCAGTTGTGGACATTTCTGTGAGTTGGTTCTGGAAGACTCTGAGCCCTTCCTTAGCATCGCTCTTTGCCCCAGCATGGAGATCATGGATCCGCTCCCTGTCCTGGCTTCACTTAGGAAAAGCCAAATTGTGCTGTTCTCTGAGGGCCTTCAGGAAGGTTTCTCACGGACACCAGAGCACTGTCCGCTGGTTGTGGCTTTCTTTGGAAGTAATAGAAATGGATGAAGTGGCAGGGGCCATTTATGGTCTGAGAATTGCATTCTTGAGGTCTGGAAAGAAGACGGCCTAACAGCCAAGCTGAGCCATTCTGAGAGAAAAGGATGGCACTGGGGTTTCTGTATTTGGGAAGCAAGTCCTTCTTATCAAGCCAGTTTTCATATACTTGGATTTCTCCAGCAAATAGGCCCACACATGCACAGGCTTACACTGATAAAATGTGTCCTCTGCTTTCTGAGACAGATTTTTTCTGTTAGCTTAGTGAACTTTGGTTTTAGTTCATTTTAGATGACTTTAATTATTTTTAATTAACAACTAAAGCCAGCTTTTGGATCAGTTGGTTGATTGCCCTTTCCCAGTTTTCATTTTTCTCTACTCTAGAAAATTTCATTATTATTTCACAGATGAGCCGTCGGTGGATTGGTCGGTTGACTTGCATGGAGCTCTGCATACATACATTGCTGTGAAAAAGGTCTTATCTATTACAGAAGTTTGCCAGGGCCGCTGTCACACAGTTCCACACACTGGGTGGCTTAAATCACAGAAACTTACTGCCACACAGTTTGGGAGGCTGGAAGTCTGAGATCAAGGTGTGGGCAGGGTGAGTTCTCTCTGGGGCTGGCTTCTGTGGCTGGCTGGCAGTCTTTGGCATTCTTTGGCTTATAGTAGCATCACCCCAACCTCTGCCTTCATCGTCACATGGTGTTCTCCTACTGTGCTGTGTCTATGTCCACCCTATCCCGTATAACGTTGTCTAAACTTAACTAGTTATATCTGCACTGACCCTATGTCACGGTAAGGTCACATTCTTACTTTCAACGTGATATTAGGTTACTGAGGTACTGGGGGTTAGAACTTCAATATATGAATTTTTATTTTTATTTCCTTTATTTATTTACCTTTTGGGACTGGATCTCTGTCACCCAGGCTGGAGTGCAGCGGTAGGAACACGGCTCACTGCAGCCTTGACCTCCTGAGCTCAGCAATCCTCCCAACCTCAGCTTTCTGAGTAGCTGGAACTACAGGTGCACACGACCACACCTGGCTAATTTTTGTATTTTTCAAATAATCCTCTCATCTTAGCCTCCCAAAGTGCTAAGATTACAGGCGTGAGCCACCGTACCCGGCCTTACATATGAGTTTTTAGGAGACACAATATAACCCGTCACACTGATTCTATGCACAGTACTACATTTAGCCAACCTGGAGGACAGAAGGGCTCGAGGTCCTGCTGTCCCTCCTAGCTCAGGGGAGGCGGTGTGGTGGAGTAGAGAGCACACTTGGACGGAGGTCACGGGTCCTGACTCATGCCATTAGGCCATCCCTCAGTTTTTTCTCTAATAAAAATGTTTTAATTAAAAGACCTATTAGTATCCAAGAAGACCTGTAAGGTATAAAAAAGAAAAAAAGAAGACCAACTTACAGGGTGTGTGGAGAGGCTCAGACGAGCTAACAGGTCTGAAAATGTCATGGTTATGGGAAGTAGCAGAGACAGGGTCCAAATACAGGTGTTGGGTGTCATCTGTGAAACGGGAAATGAACGGTTGGCTTCTCCAGCAGGAGAGAGCAGTCTGGGAAGCAGCAGAGGTGAGCCCTGGTTTCCCCGGGTCCTGCTGGCCAGCTACTTCTTCCCTCTAAACCAGCTCCCTCTTGAGGGAAATGGGGCTCCGGACTAGGCAGTGTGCTCACCACACCATTGAGTGACTCTATAAGTGACCTCTCTAAGTCCTTGTCTATAAAATGGGGATAATAGTAAATGCCTAGCTCATAGGTTAAATGAGAAAGTCCTTGTGAAGTACTTGACACACAGCTTGGTATACAGTAGTAAAGTTAGCTATTTCTATAAACTACTTCCTGTGAGGATTGAATGAGATGGTATAGGTAAGGGGCCGGCATGCAGTAGGTGCTCAATTAACCATTGATACTCCCCTGGCCCTTTTAAACTCACTTTTGGCAGAGTTTCCAGTATTCCTGATTCCCACTGGGGTAGAGGGTGGAGGGTGGAGAGTTATACAGAAAAGTATTTGAACTACTTGAAGAATAACATTGTTTTCAGGCACTCATAAGCCATTTATAATTACCCATTTACTTGTAATTAATGTCCATGCCAATTATAACCAATTACAATTCATTAACTTACACACCCTCAGGACCTTACCTTGCAAAGTTTTGTTAGATAATTAGCCAAACTTAGTGTAGTATTCCACCATAGTAATGATTATCCTGGCAATTCATAAAGTGTACCCAGGCCACTGTGTGAATGATGAGCCTCCATTTGCTCTGTGAGAGCAGATCTGAGAAGGGTCTTTCTAAGATTCTTGTCTTTCTGGCAGGTATTAATCAGCACAGAAACTCGGGAGACGCAGACAAGTTCTTCCACGATGTCGTACAGACGAGAACTAGAGAAATACCGTGACCTGGATGAAGATGAAATCCTTGGAGCCCTAACAGAGGAAGAGCTCAGAACCCTGGAAAATGAGCTGGATGAGCTGGACCCTGATGTGAGTAGGTGCTAAAGGGGAGCACATTGTTACCAGTGCAGGGGACCTGGGGAGGAACAGGTGGATGCTTCCAAAGCCACCACTTCCTTCTCCTTCCATGGCAATGACAATAGAATAACTTTGCCTTTGCAGATTTTTCTTTTAATGTATTGGATCAGGGTTCTCCAGAGAAAGAGAGAACCAATAGGGGGAGGGTGAGAGTGTGTGTGTGTGTGTGTGTGTGTGTGGAGAGAGAGAGAGAGGGAGAAAGACAGATTTGCTATAAGGTGTTAGCTCACAAGGAGACTCTATGTATAGACCTATAGAGACTGGCAAGACCTGCAGTTGATAAGGTGGAGACCCAGGAGAGCCAATGGTGTAGTTCCAATACAAATACCAACAGGCCAAAGACCCAGGAAGAGTTGGGTCTGGGAAAAGATGTTTTAGTTTAAGGCCAAAGGCAAAAAAAAAAAAAAAAAGCTAATGTCCCAGCTCAAGGCAGTAAGGCAGTCAGGCAGGAAGAAATTCCCTTCTACTTGTAGGAGGGTCAGCTTTTTTTTTCTATCCAGGTCTTCAACCAATTAGTTGCACCCCCCACCCCTGACCCACCGCCCACCACCTTATCAGGGAGAACAATCTGTGTTACTGAGTCTACTAATTCAAATATTAGACTCATCCAGAAACACCCTCACAGACACACCCAGAATAATGTTTGACCAAACGTCTGAGTATCCCATGGCCAAGTCAAGTTGACATACAAAATTAACCATCACAGTCTACCCCTTGTCAACTGGGCACATACACATCTCTTTAAATCATAATTTCCAAATAAAGACAGTAACGATGTCATAATTCTACCTAACATGATACAACTATCCTGGGTACAATGGAAAACACACTATCACCTATTCCAGAAGAGGAGGTGTAGTCCATGAGTGATGTTTATTCTTCTCCTTGCTATCCTGTACCTTAAATACTATGATGTAAAATTAATGATACTTGAATCCTATTATACAAAGCCAATATAATCAATAACATTAAAGTTAATAACAAACAATCTTGAATTACATGACAAGGGAATAAGAGAGGGAAAAAGCAAAGATATTTGCTACACACACACACACACACACACACACACACACACAACACAAGTGTTCATAAAATAAAGAGGAAGTACTCATGACAATTACAGCTTTCATTTCTGTAACTAGTCAGGTGGTTGTAGCTAATATTTGCAACTACTCATTCTTTGCCTTTAGCAAGCACCTCAGCTGGTGGTGGTTCTTTCCCTGGAAGGCCTAGGCCATTAGTAGTCCTGCCTGTGTTCGTTTGTTGCAGTTTTCCATTGACCCTAATCACCGGGCGTGGTAATACTAAAAAAATGCCCTAAGGGCTCTCCTGTGTGCAGACACAGACTTTCTCACCTCCCTTGTGCAGCAGCTATCTAACTGCTCCTTGGTAGGATCCGTCACCCCAGCCAGCCCAGCAACTCCCTTCTTCGCTCGTTGATTCAGAGTCATGAGGAGCCCAAAGTGGCCTGGTGGCAGTTTTAACTTCCAGTTTAGTGGAATTGTTGTGTCTCTTAGTGGAACTTTCCTCCTTTGAAACTAAGACTTCTAGGCCAGCAGACCTTAGGGTCACGGGAACAGTAAGCAAAAGTTTTGCTAGTGGGTCACTAGGAGTAATGGTGAGTGGTGCCACTCCCATTTCCAGCTTCGATTCCCTGACCTGTGAATCCTAGCTATGAGAGAAATGGCATAAGCAATTGCCTACTGATTCAGAGCATAGACAATCTTCTGGAGAATGTTGCCCCAGCCCGCAAGGTGTGGCTACCTAGCTGGCACTGCAACTGAGTCTTCAAAAGGCCATTACCCCCTTGTATCCAGCCAGCTGCTTCAGGCTGGTAGAGAACATGTGTCATGGAATGAATGACTAAGAATAAAGGATCAGAAGAATCCTTCTTATTTAATATTTGTCGTTTTATCATTGCGTTTCATAGTTGGCACATTTAGAAGTGTGTTTAATGCTCAGAATTCATCTCTGTAGTCAGGGTACACAGTGTTAAGAGTCAAAAGTCTCTTTGGTTGTGTATGTGGTTTAACAAGTCACACTAGAACTGGGAGCACGGGGCTGGGTGTGGTGGTTCATGCCTCTAATCCCAGTACTTTGGGAGGCCAAGGCGAGTGGATCATGAGGTCAAGAGATCGAAACCATCCTGGCGTATATGGTGAAACCCCAGCTCTACGAAAAAGACAAAAATTATCTGGATGCGGTGGCACGCACCTGTAGTCCCAGCTATTTGGGAGGCTGAGGCAGGAGAATCGCTTGAACCCAGGAGGCGGAGGTTGCAGTGAGCTGAGATCGCACCACTGTACTCCAGCCTAGCAACAGAGACAGACTCCGTCTCAAACAAAAAACAAACAACAACAACAACAACAACAACAAACTGTGAGCATGACCAAGAGAGGGGGTTGTAGGTGGCCTACTAGACAGCGGTCTTCATCTTACAAGTATATGCCAGGCACCCAGGTCAATGCCCGTCACAGAGAATGTGGATAATGAAAGTTACTGAACTGAGTAAATGTTCCATGTTATATATTTTTAATTAAAAATGGAATGTTTCACACCCTTTTTAAAAACCAGTTTTAAAACAGGTTTGGTAGTGCTCAACTCCAGTTTAACAATGATCCGTAAAGAAAACAACACTTCAGTCTCACTCACCCACAGATGGTCACTGCTAACATCCAGGAGCATCGTTCAGATGGAAACACGCAGGCCGAGAAGTTAGATGTTTTGCCCTCAATCCCACCTCTGTGTCTTTCACTCCATGTGACCTTGGACCAGCTGCCGTCCTTCCTAGACCTCAGTGGCCCTATCCATGGAATAACAGAGTTGGTTGGTCACTTTCAGGCTTAAACTAACCTGACTTATAACCTGGTCTTATACCCAGGTGTGATTAAGTGGCTTCATTCTAGATAACCCAGAATCCTTGCCTAGGGCTCCCGGGTCCCAGGCCCCATAGAATTACACATTCCTCCAGCAGAGTGACCCCCTCTTCCTGATATTCACTACCTTCCCCTGCCTGCCACGACAAGATGGTTTCCTGATGAGGCTGCTCAGGTTGATCAGAAGTCGGCACTGGTGGAAAGAGCTTTGCATTCCTCCTTCCCCCGCATTGTCTCTCCGCATTAGCCTGTGTTTCAGTGCAAACAAGCCATGTAGGCAAGGAAACATCAAGCTGTAAAATTACTCTGTTCTAATTCTATCCTAGATCACTGTCACACAGAATTCCAGGAACAAACAGTTTTATAAAGGAACAACAAAAGGGGCATATAGCCACTTCCAGTTGACTCAATGAATGTGACTCAGTTACCTGCCGAGCACCAGGCACTGTGCTGGCCACCAACAGGGGAGCCTGGCTGGGACTCTGCCTTCCAGGAGCACAGGCTGGTGGGGAAGGAGGCATAATAAACTGCGTTCTACCCAGAGCAGACAGGAAGCTCTGCAAGGAAATTAACTCTTACTGGTGCGAGGCGTCACAGAGCAGATGATACTGGAACTGGGCCCTGGATTTTTCTAATTCCAGGCCGAGTGAGGGCCTTGAGAAAGGCCACAAGGAAAGTGTTGTGTAGGGAAGGTAATTAGCAATGAGAGTCTTAGTGTGGTTTCTGTGGAGGATCAGATGCCACTAGAAAGTGGAGGGGAGGGGATTGGGCTAGATAACACCGGGGCAGGGGAGTGGCAAGGCCGACTGAAGGGTTCAGACTTTGCTCAGTAGGTTCGGGGAACCCTTGAGGGTCAGAGACTCAGAGGGCTTGGTGTTTTGGGGAGCTGATGCTGAGGACACATGGACTGGAGGGGTGTCAGGTAGATGGGTGAGAGGTGGGAGGTGCTCCCTCGGGGGAATCTTTGCCATTCCCAGGGGGAAGTGCACCTGAGGGCCCCGCAGGCCTTTTGGGCTGTTAGAGTTGCCCTGAGCTGCTACGTGGGGATGAGGTTAGATCAGGCTATGGCTGCAAATAGGACAGGTGATGATGATGACAAGGGTCAGAGCCTAGTGTCAGGCCTGGGAGTGGAGGGGGACAGATGGAGGAGGCCGCTCAGAACCCAGAGTGCATCCACCAGGAACTGTATTCCCTTTCACCCCCAAACTGATAAAGAGCTCCCGCAGGTCTGCCACCCCACACGTCAGAGTATTCGGCCTCAGCAGCCAACACCCAGGGCCCCTGCGGCTCCCACACAGCCGGCTCTCCCACCCAGGTGATTAGCAGGGCAGGGACAGTCCACTGGTACAACTGAAGGGGCAGAGCACCTGGGGCTCAGCTTGCTGAGGGTCACAGGACCCAGGCAGGCACAGAGACTCGGATTTCAAAACAGGCTCCAGAGTGTGCACATGTCCAGCTCTGGCAGGAGAAAAGTAATTGAGCACAGGGATGTGGGCGCCGGCATGGGCCACCTGAGACCTGCAATTCTCACACCACTGTGGTTTCCCAGTTGGCATTTTCAAAGACCCCTTTCTCTCTCCATTCAGAGAAAAGAGAAGAGAAACCAGAGAGAGCATAGGAGACAATGGAGGCCAGTGGGTTACTGTCCCAGCCACACAATCGGCCCCTTCACTGAGATCAGCTCTGTTACCTGATTTGCAAGACAGTTTGTGAGATTTGAAAAGGCGTAGAGGGCCTCTCTTTTTTTGGAGAGCACAAATGTTCCAGTTCTACTTTCACCGTTGCTTGGCCCGTGCTCTGAAATCACAGCACAGGGAGAGGCCAAAGATATGCAGACCCTGAGAGACTCCTGGCAAGTATCCGCCTCTCCCACCACTTCTGAGCCTGAGCAGAGCCCGGGGAGGGGAAAGAACCTGCTCTAGGTCACACACAAGCAGAACCAGATCAGAACCCTGATTCCTTGGCACCTAGGCCACTGCCCTCTCTGTTATAGTCCACATTCCTCTGGTTTTGTTTTTTGTTTGTTTGCTTGCTTGCTTGTTTTGAGATGGGGTCTTGCTGTGTCACCCAGGCTGG